GCCCTTCCCTCGTATGTTTCTAAGCTTCGTTAATGTGCCCACATGGGTGGTGTCGTCTGTCTGTCCTGTGGCTGCCTGACACTGATGCTGCTGTCTGACACCGATGTTGCTGTTTACACTGTTTGGCACTGTTTTGACACTTTTCGATACTGATATTGCTGTTTGCACTGTTTTGACACTGTTTTGACACTGCTACTGCCATCTAACACTGATACTGCTGTCTGACACTGATACTGCTGTTTGCACTGTTTTGACACTGCTACTGCCATCTAACACTGATACTACTGTCTGACACTGATACTGCTGTTTGCACTGTTTTGACACTGATACTGGCATCTAACACTGATACTACTGTCTGACACTGATACTACTGTCTTTCACTGTTTGGCACTGTCTGTCACTTTACCAGGACTGTCCCGAGGAGTGGTTCTGCGTGGACTGCACCATTCTCCGACAGGTCTCCGCTCAGAAGCACGCCCACGCCAAGAGGTGTGGTGTGTGTCGCTGGCCGTTGCCGACGGCGTGCTACGGTAGTGTAGTCATCCTTATCGCCGCCGTTGTTGTTGCTGTTGTTGCCGTTGTTGTGCTAGCGTCGTCGTCGTCATTGGTGACGGTTTTTGTTGCTGCTGGCGCTGCTTGTGTATGTGTTTTTCTGCGAAGTAGCTCACTTACCACAGAAGAAACAAGTCAAAGGTCTAATATATTTTGGTCTTGATCTGTTTTTTTTTTACGTGCCAGCACGTGAAGACCCCTGCTTGTGTACGTGTGGTGTGATCACGATCAAGACGTTGTTGTTGTTGTTGCTGTTGTCGTTGTTGCTGCTGCTGCCTGTGCATGTGTGAGTGGTGCTGTTGTTGATGCTTCCGGTGCTATTTGTCTCTTTTTTCTCGCTTTTTTTTTCCGTCCTTTTTTGGCGTAAGTGGTGCCTTCAGAGGCACACAGAGAATGGCGGGGTGCTTCAACCGTAGAAAGCACCCGACGCCACTTGGTAGCCCAGACTAAAAAAAGACAAGCGCATGTTCGACCAGACGCTCGCAGCATTTCGACACCAAACCCTACCCCCTCGCAACAGACAAAGTTTGGATGCCGCTTCGCATGACCTCACGAAGGAGTTGGGCGATGAGGCCGGAAGCGACGATGAGGGTGGGGTAGGCGGCGGCAAAGTTGTCGCTTTTGAGGTGAGGCTGCTGGCTTCGTGGTTGTCGGAGGGTACAGTACATGTACTAAAATATTGGTACAGCAGTGGTGGCCACGGTTTAAGAGAGAGTCGTGACAAGGCAGTATTTCTCTCTTAAATCCGCTTTTCTTTTGACCGTACCGTTGTGAAATGTATGTATCTCTCATGGTCGTGACAAGGCAGTATGACTTCTCTTAAATTGGCACTTTTTCTTAAATGGTCTCTCTTAAACCGTAGCCAGCACTGCAAGTACATGTTTTGCCGAGGTGTGCAATCGTCCGAGTTATCGTCCCCTAGGCGGGACTCTCAAAAGCTGCGAGTTTTCACAGCTACCTGTAGGAAGGTGCCACTGTTGTCGCCATGGTGGTTTGGAGTGATCTCGTCCAGACCTCTCTGCGGGCGTATCGTTCGGTGTTCTCGCACCCTCTTTGTAGTGGAGCTACAGTACAATACAGTTTCGATCTCGAGAAGTGGGTCTGGGGGGATTGCTCGCACACAGCGTGTCCTTGCATGTTGGTGTGTTTACGTTTTTTTGTCCGGGTGAGACGACTTGTTTGCGCCGGCGGTCAGAAGCTGTGTGTGTTGATTCAGCGGCCGTAACGAACACAGCGGTATCACGACGGCATTATCACCAACGTCACCCACAACAGCGTCAACCAACCACCAGACCTGTCGACACAGTCTTAGTTCGTTTAAGACCCTTGAACGGGGGAGGCGGGGACAGAGTCAAACGAAATTCAGGGAAATACATGATCGAAGCAGAGACGTGTCCCCGCCTGGCATCACTGATTCTCTCAAAAGTGTGTAAGAGCTTAAGAACGACCCAAACAAGTCCAGCATCCAGCAGAGTTTCCTCAAGATTTCACTCTGTGAAGGCTTCCACACATCCCCTCAATACTCGGCCGTTGTCTCGAACGGGTGCTCCCTCTGTGCTTGTCGCGTACATTCTCAATATGTCGTTAAGGGCTACTCCATCCACACCGTACGCCCGCACTTTCTCTGCGGACCACGATTCACTCAAGTGGCTGCAGTATTGCAAAAGGTCTGGTGGTTGGTTGATATTGTGGGGGATGCCGGTGTTGCTGCTGGCACGGCAAAACATGAATACGCCCCCCCCCCCCAACTCTTGGACTGGCGCGCCCCCCGGTGACCCACCTCTACATGGTCTAACCGTTAAGGGATGTAAAGGGGGGGGGGAGCCCCCCCTCCCCCTCCTTCCCTCTCCGGCCCTCGTACTGCTGTGCCCCCAGGTGACCGACCTCGACGTGTTCAGGCAGCTGGTGCTCAACAGACTCACGGCAGATGACGGAGCCAGCCGGAGCGCTCAGAGGTCCGCTGGCAGTGCCGGGCTGGGCTCGTCGTCATCGTCATCATTCAGACACGGCCAGAGTGTTGCTGTTAGGGGAGGGGGGGGGGACGACGACGGGGAACGAGGGTGGGGGTGGCAGGCGAGGCAGACGCAGCTGGCGCTGTGGATAGAGGAGGCGCAGAGGGGGTGAGTTTCGGAGGGCGGGGGTGGGCGGCACACGTGGGGCCCCCTTGGGATGGAGTTGTTGTTGTTGTTGTTGTTGTTGGTGGAGTTTGACACCCACACACAGAAAGAGAGAGAGAGAGGTCCACCTGACGCCCGATTACCCCTCTGTGTCCACCAAGCGCGTTAATCAAGTGTGTGGTGTTAGATATTATTGCTGTTACCCTACAAAGAGAAGGGCTGAGATCGGTATGTGTCCGGGGTTGAGATGTGCCACACAAATGGGTGTACTGTATTGTCGCACACGCTGCGTCGTTCGTTCGGTAACACGGACATGACGTCATCAACAATGAACCAAAGCTACAGACATGCCCAGCTCGCACTGGCATGGGGCAAGACCAGCACCTGTTGTCGTGTTGCGCGCTCCCCTTCCGCTCTCTTGTTTCTACCGCTTAACCCGCCCGTACTTCCCTCCTCTTTCGGGGCTTGCACTTTTTTTTTTTCTTTGTTGCGCTTTGTTTTTTGTCAGCGGTGGAGGCGGGGACGCGGGAGGTGCGGGGGCTCACCTCCTAGGACAGTGGAAGTCGGACGGTGGTTGCAGCAGCAGGTGAGCGAACTGCACGCGCTATTGGGATTTGTTGCAACACATATTTGATCTCCTTTGTACGTGTTGGTGTGTGTTTCATGTACGTTGTCGGGGTGTTGTGTGTGAGAGTTTGTGTATCTGGAATTCCGACCATTTCGGCCGGATTCAGAACCTATCGTAGTATAACCACCTGCTCTCTTCTCCTCGCCTCGTACTGTCTGCACAGTATACGGTTAGGCTCGTTGAATTTGATAATTGGAACAGCGGCCAGAGAAACCTTTTGTTGCGTGCACGACACGCATCCCCCCCGCGTAACTCTGTTGTTGCTCCGAGAGCATTTTATCAATTCGCCTGATGAGCTCGACTTCGTTCTTTTTCATCTGCCTTAACGTCCCCCTCGGCATGCAATCCTTGAATCCAACCATGTGGCTAACTTTCCAACTTGCTCGATTTTTGTTTTTACGCCGTTGTCGTTTCGCGTGGTCTCGCTTCTTCATCCCCCTCGTTTCATTGCAGCTGGCCCTCCCATCCGAAAAGGGTCGTAACCTTCCCCTGCCGGTTCGTTTTTTATCCCTGTGCTATGCTCCCACGTGTACTACGCTTTCGTTCAGCTGGGACGCGCTCACGCTGGCTCATGACGGCACCCTCCGCCTGTGCCGGCGATTGGTGGTGGAAAGAGAGCTGTGCAAGCGGGGGCTGGACGCCATCCTGGCGCACTTGCTGGCTTTTCTGCGGGACCCCGCGACAAGGTATGTATGTACCACTTCGTCAGGATGTGTGTGTGTGTGCGTGATTTGTGACCGAACTCTGAACGTACTTGCTTGTTTTTTGTTTTGCAAAGAGCTTGCGAGCTCGGGGCGGCGCTGTCCTATTTAGTCCTCGATCATGCGCGCTCGTTATCGCGTACGATGTACTTGAAGCTTTAAATCGTGTGTGCGTGTGTGTTAAATGATTGTTTTGTTGCGAGTGTGGTCTACCTTATTATCGTTTTCATTGCATTGCGTTTTTTTTTTTTTGTCATTGTGATGTACTTCGTTAATCATTTTCATTGCTATTATTCTCGTTCTTGTTCTTTTTCATGCTACAGCCTGCGGTTGTTTGTTGTGATCTACTGTTATCTTGATAACCACGTTCACTTGTTATTTCCCCTCATTCTTGTTCTGTTTGTGCCACTGTACAGCTTGCGAGCTCGTGCGGTGAAGCGGCTGGCGGGGGTGGTTGACGCCGACGGTACTCTGATGGGCAGGGACGTCGTAAGGGTGTCGGTCACCTCGAGCTTCCTGGACGAGGCTGTCTCTGTTCGGCAGGTAGGCTACCGTACCACTGCTGTATGTATGCCAATAAATGGAGGTAGGGAGGGTGTGGAGCAAGGGAGAGACAGAGAGACAGAGGGAGGTTTTATTGATAGATCGAAAAATCGATCGATAGATAGATATGTTGGTAGATAGATAGGTACCAGAGAGACAGAGACAGAGAGACACACACAGAGACAGAGAGAGAGAAAATGGAGAGAGAGAAAAAAAGAGAGAGCGTGGGAAGTGGAAAGGGGAATGTTGATCCATTGTGTGTGGATCCAGCCCCTCGCGAAGAGGACACCCATTTTTTATGCATTTATGCGTTTATCGCCTCTTATTTTCGGCGTCCAATCGACCAGTTAAGAAGAACGCCCAGCAGCGGCAGGCGGAGGGGGAGCGCGCTGCTAGAGGATGGACGACGGAGAACAGAAAACCCGGTGCGGGTGAAGTAAAACACCAAGTGCACGTGTGAACTTGGTGTTTTTTCCTTCCCCAAGGCTGGTGTTGCCTGCCTT